AGGGGGGTCAGCCCGCGTCGGGGCAGGCAGCACGGGGAGGTGGGCAGAAGGGGCAGGAGCAGGAGGGGCCATTGCGGGAGCAGGAGGGGGCACGGGCATTGCTATGGGAGGGATGGCAGGTGCATGGGGCAATGCCATGCCATAATGAATGGCATGGCCAATGTGCATGGTGAAGGCGGAGATGGCATCTGCCAGGTGCACACACTGGGCCTGGAAGCAGGCCCAGGCCTGCTGGTGCCACTCCAGGTCTACCTGGCGTGTGATGGCTGCCTCCACCCATTCGACGGCCTGCACGTGCCACTGAATCAATTGGTCCCCAGCTTGGTGCTTGGATGGCTGTGGGTGCTGCTGCTGCCACAGGGCTGTAGGGTCCCCCGCCTCTGCTTGGTCCCACTGCTGGGAAGAGAAGAAAGGATGGGTCAGTCAGGCAGCCTGGCCACTGTCCCCATACCCCATGCCCTCCACCCCTGAGCCCAGGTGACACCACAGTAATGTGGCTTGGGCCCACTCAGTTACCCCCCCTCTCCCCGTGTTGTATGGTTGCATACAGGACCACCCTGGAGTAGGGTCCTCCTCCATTTATTGTAACCACCAGTCTGTGACCTGGACCCTGGGGGGGTGGGAGGGCGCTTGTGTTGTGTTAACCTGTGGAAATCCCTGCCGGTGGACTTAATCAATGGTGTTTGACAGGGAGCACATCTAGCAGATGGGGTCTGGGCTCTCAGATCCCCATCATGTGGAATGTCTCCTGGACAGAACCAGGAGAGTGGCTGGGGAGTGCACCATCCTTGCAGCAAAACTCAGGTGGCCCTAGGACCGCCCTGAGCACTTCCCCTCTCCCCCTCCCGCTGGCCTTCACACACGTAGCCCCGGGACATGTGTGGCTGCAGTGGGGACTTCCCTTGGGGGGCCAGCTAAGGCACCGGGAGCAGGCGAGGGGCTCAGTGGGGGCCACGCTCACAGGGCTGTGACACTGCGGTTTACCCAGGAGCAGCTGGCTGTGCCTCACAGCCAGGCATGGGACAGTGTGCCGTTCTGCGTGCTGCACCCTTGCGGAGGTGTGGGCTCTGGCCTGAGCCCCTGGAGCCCTGGCTGGTTCGAGCTGGCATCCACGTAGCCTTCCCCCCTGGTCCTGCTGGATGTGTGTGAGCAGCATGGTCCCAGGTGTGCCCTGGAGCTACCTACTGCGGCCACGTGCTGCTCGGTCACCAGGCTGCATGTGGTTGCACGTGCTGCATACTGCTAATGTTACACAGCGTGCACCTCACACGGCCGGAGTGATGTGCTCACCCCCTCCCCACCTCTGGCACCTGGCTCCCTCCTGCCCTTGTGAGTGCAAAGTGCAACACTCACCAGTGGATCCTTCCCCGGCCTCCAAGGACGCACAGGAGACGTCGGGGCTGCCGGAGAGGGCCTCCTCCTGGAGGGTCCCGCTGCTCCCCTGTTCCACCTCATCCTCTGACCCACTGGGCAGCTGTGCTTCCTCCTCCACCTCACTGGGCCTGGTGACGGGGGGGCGCGCCTGCAGGTGTCCACCGGCACTGAGGGTCCGTGGGGTGGTGGTGCCTAGCCCAGGATGGCGTGGAGCCATTGGTAGTGGAGGCAGGTGTCTGCTCCTGCCCCCTGGCCCTCGCTGGCCCCCACAGCTCTTTGACCTTAGCCTAGACCTGTTCCAGGGTCTGGGCTGGATGACCCTGGTCAGAGAGCTTCTGGGACATGCGGCGGAATATGTCCGTGTTATGCCGACAGGACCGTAGGTCGTGGAGGGCCTCTTCCTCGGCCCAGAGGTCCAGGAGGGCCTCGAGCTCCCCTGCTGACCAGGAAGGGGCGCGGCGCTTTGTGCCCCTTGGGACCTCTTGCGCTGGGGGTGCGAGTTGTTTCCCCCCTGGAGCAGCCATCCTCGGTGGTCTGATTTCCTCACCCACCGAAATGATGGAGTGTACTCACTCCATAGGCTGCTATGTTTTGTACATATTGATGACATTTATTTCTGTTCTAACTTATTTCAGTTCTTTCCAAGCTGTGGTGTATCTGTTAAGTTTAAACAGGGTATGAACTTAGGTAGCTCTCTGTTCTGCTTCAGCACAATATCTATTTATCTATATGGTCACAGCCATACATGATCCTTGTGCTTTAGCCCATCACCACCTCTAGGTGAAGAGTCCCAAACACACACACTAACGTTGCCTTAGCTCAACGTACAATATGTAGCCTGCAGGTCCCTTGTGTTAAAGCCAAAAATACTCCCAATATAAACCTACTAGAAAATTTACCCAGCATTTCTTTAGTCCTTAACTCGATTAATTTTTGGTTTTGGGGAAATAAAAATGTACATGCTCTGGGATGGGGATGAGTGGTTCAGTGTGCAGGCTGCCCCAGGGAGAGAGGACAATTGTCCCCAGCCCTCTCTCCCACAGCAGCATGGGTCCGGATGAGAAGTGCCTCTCCCATGGCTGCTGCAGCTGAGGGAGGGGTCCATATTATCCAGCTGCAGCTGAGGGAGGGGTGAATATTATCCGGCTGCTGCAGTTGAGGGAAGGGTGCATGTTACCTGGATGGGGCAAGTCCAGATTAATCTTCCTCCTACTCCCCAGCCAGAGTGAAGAATGCAGAAAATTGTGCACTTTCTCCTGACTCCCTGATGGAATAGCAGCTATATCCTCATATGAATTGCGGGGAGAGCTATAGCCCCCTTGCCCTCCTTAAAGGGTGACTGAAGGATGGGAGGCTCGGGGTTGGGGCAATCAGGGGGGCATGCCCCCCGGTAATTTGTTTCTTTTCTGTATGGCTATGTCTACACTGGCAGCTTCTTGTAGAAGAACAGTCGTTCTTCCGCAAAAACTTGCCGGCTGTCTATACTGCACGAGCATTCTTCCAGAAGTAAATTTACAGTATAGCGTTGTAAAACAGGGCTTCTTCCGGAAGAATTATTCCTCTCCCCATGAGGAATAATCCCTCTTGTGCAAGAGCTCTTCCAGAAGAGGGCAATGTAGACAGGCAACATGAATTTCTTGCACAAGAAGCCCCTGTGTTTAAAATGGCCATCAGAGCTTTCTTGCAGAAGAGAGCGTCTACACTGCCATGGATGCTTTTGTGCAAAAGCACATCTCTTGCGCAAATGCACATGGCAGTGTAGACACTCTCTTGTGGAAGAATTTTTGCACAAGAACTCTTCCGCAAAAGAGTTCTTGTGCAAGAAGCTGTCAGTGTAGACATAGCCCATGGTTTTATGTGAAACAATCCCTTAACATCCCATTTTCCTCGCACAACCAAACCCTTATTTTGCTTTAGGTTATGATAAGAGGAAGCTGTGTACCAAATTTGTTGGTCCTGTCTCTAGTCATCTAGGAGGAGCTCTTGAACCAGTGGACAGACAGAAAAACAAATAATCAAACACATAAAATAAGAAACCAATGAGAAAAAAATCTATAGGCAAACAACCAGGCAAGCCCTATGGGCTACAAGTTAGAATTGGTTATGAATGAAATAAAACAAATAAAACCACAAGCTCACACCTAAATAAACTTAAAAGCAAAATGTCTCTCTCACCATTAACTATAACATTTCACAGACTATATTTTCTTTCAGCCAGTAACCCCCCCCCCCCCCAGTTCAGTGTTCTTCAAATATGTATTGATGCAACGAGCACAGAGATGGGAGGAAAAAAGGGGTGGTATTGAGATCAGAGTCACTTATTTGTATATCCTCTTCGCGGTTTACATACAGACACACATGCATACATGCACACCCCCAACAGAGTGTAGACAAAACAGTCCTGTACATGTGCAAGATTTGAACCATCTCTGGGATGCGATATACATTTCTTATTTATACCTTCTCTCCTAACTCTGGTCTACATTATGGAGTTATTTCAAAATAATTCCCCTTCTTGCAAAATAATAAGTGGAGTGTTCATACTACCTAGCCCATTATTTTGAAATAAAAGGCTGGTTATTTTGAAATAACAACTGCTGCTTTCCATGAGGAATAACACTTAGTTCAAAACAGTTATTTCAAAACAGTGGTAGTGTGGACGTTTCACTGCTGGTAATATCATTAGCTCACAGACATTTACCTCCCCCCCATTCCCCTTCTGTTCTGAAATTTGATTTGTCCTTTTCATATGTGTTCATTTTTTTTAATTGTATCCTTTGGTATATATAGTTGTGACAATTTTCTTCCACTATTTGATCTGAGAAAGTGGGTCTGGCCCATGAAAGCTCATCACCTAATAAACCATCTTGTTAGTCTTTAAAGTGCTACATAGTCCTGTATTTTGTTTCAGCTACACCAGACTAACACAGCTACATTTCAATCACTACTCCCCAGAGTCATTCAAAGTAATTACTCCTCAGTGTTTCCTGGGGCTCTAAGTCGAGGTAGCACATCCACATGAAGGGCGCCTGCCTCAGACTAATTTTGAGGCTTCCTTGTAGCATGGACGTACTATTTCAAAATATTATTTCTGGAGTTATTATTTCAAAATACGTTATTTCAAAATAAGTTATTTCCTAGTGCAGACATGCAGCTACTGGTGAATGGCCAGGTAAGCAGGAAATGGCTCTTGAGCACCTTTCTGGCATGCTAATATGTCATTGTATCCAAGAAAATGAATTTTTTGTGGGTGTTACTCAGAACTACAACATTTCAGTAACAATCATATAGCAAAATTTCAATTTTACATACGATTTTGTTATATGCATTTCAACAGGCTAGTAATATCCAGATTATGCGTTTTCAAATGATGCCTATTGCCTGATTTTGGGAGATTAATAGTGTTTACATAATGTGGATTATAAACTCACCAGTTGATCTGAACAGAAGATAATAACATGCTTACCTCAAAATCAGGCTACACAGAGTCTTGCTAGGACCCTCAAGATGCAAGGACATTCATGATGAGATCAAAATACAGCCTTAGAGACATTTATTAACATAAATGAAAAAGTTGTCAAAGTTCCAAACCCAGAATTAATAGGAAATAGTACTGATCTAAAGATGTGGGGTGTGATGGCCCCACCCCCATGCTTCAAGAATATGAATATACATAAGATGCTTTAAACAAAATATTTCATGTAAACTATCAATTTAATGTTATAATCTGCTGAATGTGTATATCCTATTTCTATTCATGTAAAAGACTTTGACTCTGATTGAAACTAAGATCTGAATTAAGATCAGCTGTGTTGGGTAAAAATTTCCATGTGACAAGTTTCTTAGTGCATTAGAACTAGCTTTGTATTTTCTATTCATTTTAATTTAGTAATATACTTTGATCTGTTTGTTTTTACTTGCAACCATTTAAATCCTACTTTAATATATAATAAAATACATTTTTGTTTATTATCAGGCCCGATGTAAATGATTGGTACCTCGGAGGAGTAACCACAGTGTATCTCTCTCTTTCATTGATAAAACCTGGTAAGTTTTCATGGTTTAAAATTTTTACACAGAGAAAGATGGATGAATTTGAGTTTTTTGTCCTACTTAGGGTTGGTTTCATGAGTGCTATGCCCTAGAACTGTGTCTTCCCAGAGCTGAAGTGGTTTAGTGTCTGCATTGCTCTGTACAGAGGTGGTAACTCCAATTCTATGCCTTATCTGGGGGGGAGCAGAGGATCTCACCCTGAAGAACAAAGTGGTGGGGAGCCCCAGAGAGCAAAAAGGCAGGTATCAGTGGCATGATCAGCACACGGGGCAGGCCTGTACTCAGGAATTTCGGTGGGGGTGTGTGAGCCATGGGAGGGGCTGGTAGCTGCCCTGCTCCCATAGCTCAGCCCCACTCCTGGCCTCCTTCTGGGAGAGGGAAGATGGGGCAAAGTGCTGCCCCTGCCTTCCTCTGGCCAGCCAGAGCACAGGGAAGGGAGGTTGGGGCAACATGCCGCTTCTGCCTTTCCCTGGCTGGCTGGCTGGAGCACGGCAGGACGGGGGCGAGGGCAACTCACTGCCCCAGCCTCACTCTTCTTTGGGGGACAATGGGGGGTGTACCCTTTGCACCCCCACCTCCCCCGCATACGGGCCTTCTGGGGAACAATATCAAGGGGACTACTGTGACCACACCCCATCACACAGGGTATCTTTTATAAAGATAACCTAGATTAATGTGCTCACACTTTTCCTCGAGAACCTGGTCGAAAGAGACAAAGGACAAGCCTTGGCTCTGGCTTGTCAAAAGTATCTCGTGGTCCAGGTTCCTCTATGCTCAAATAAAGGATAAAAAACTTTGGAGAAGCTAGAAATTAAGAAAGAAAAATCCAAGGAAAAACCACCTAAAACTAAATACTGAACATGCCTCTTTTAAAGAGTCCGACAATATTTGTTCAACTTTCCACTGTTCTAACAATTTCCTAACCCACATAATACTGGGGTGATGCTTACTCTATTGGCTATCATATTCATACATATTAATAAGAATTAGCTCATTCTCATAGCTAGGCAGACTGTAGCACCCATTTTTACCCACAGAACTCAGGAAGAAATCTGGTCAATTTAAGTACCTGCTCAGGATTCCACAGAACCGGGATGTACCCCAGATTTTTGGGTGCCCTACACAACTGCATATTCTGCTTAAGGGTAAGGACAGCTCTGTATTTCTGTACCTGATATTAGGAATATTGACTGTAGATTTATTATCAATGTGTCCATGATTGGAAAAGCCTATTTCTAGTTCATCAGGAACAACAATGATGAAGCCAGACAGAGAGCTAACAGCTCATTACCAAAAGACAATTTAGTGGGTGAGAACTATCTTCTTGCAGAATGCTACGAAGAAATGTGTCCATGTCACCACATGCTGGAATCTATTTTGAATTTTGTGCTTTTCCACAGAGGTGTAAGGGAATCTAAAAAAACCTTCGTGCCCTAGGGCAGGGGTTCCCAAACTTTTTGACACGGGGACCAGTAAATCCATTCACGAACTTTTGGAGGACCGGCAATGTTCGTTTGCATATTTGCATATTCATTAATCAAATTATGAATATTCAAATACGTTGTTTCTGGTCCTCCCAAAACCCCCAGTGCCAGCTTTAGCAAAGCTTTTGATATGGTCACCCACAATATTCTTGCCAGCAAGTTAAGGAATATGGATTGGATAAATGGACTGTAAGACAGACAGAAAGTTGGTTAGACCAGGGTTTCCCAAACTTTTTACATTAGTTGGAACCCTTTTTTTTCAATTCTGCTTTTTGCAGCCCAAAAATATAAACACGTAAAAAACAAACTGAGAAAATACCAGATGTATAACATGTCTGGCATTTTCTCATTAGGTAAGTTTTATTATTACTAGATGTATCAGTTTGTAGTTTCGAACTGCCTGGCTGGTAAATGTGCTCAGGCTGCATGAGGTGTGTCTACCAGCCAGACAATTCACAACTATTCGAGGGGTGAGGGTGTGTGGGGGGACAATAGAATCCCCGGGCCGGACTAACTCATGCTTTGTGCTTGGGGGGGGGGAGGGGGGGGAGGGGAGAACAGCGTCCCAAGATCTACATATGGCCGGGTCAGTCCAATTCGCATTCCTCCCCCCTTCTCCCCCCGCTGCGCCTCTGGCCAGCCCCACTTCCCCCAACCCCCTCCTGGGCAGCCAGGTCCCTCCCGCTTCTCCTCCCAATCTCCCTTGGCCAGCCCTGCTGCCCGCATCCAGCCCTCCTTCTGGCAGCCGCTTCTTCTCCCCCTCCCATCTTCCCTGGCCAGTTCCCTGCCCCCAACCTCACACCCCCTGGCAGCCCTGCTTCCACCGGCCCCCCAATCTCCCCAGCCTGCCCCGATTCCCCCGTCCAGTGCTGCTTCCGGTGGCCAGCTCTGCCCTCCTCCTCACCCCAGAATCCCCTGGCACCTGCACCTTCCTTTAGCCCTGCATCCTCCTGGTGCCTCCCCCTTCCCTTACTGCCCCTGCCCCCTT